ATATCCATTTTATCCCTCCCGCCCATCCTAGCCGCAGCGCTCGGCCCAGAAAGTATCTTAACCTAACCTAATCCGAAATAACAAAATAATAAATAATAATAAATTTGTGCGTCGGGGGGGTCAAATATAAGATTTGTATCATCAGCGGGAAAGAAACATTATTGAGTGGATCCGCCGTGTTAAGTATTTTCGTACATTGTATGGTAGTCGAAGTACTTAGGTGAGAAATATTGATAAGACGTTAAGTTCGGTGTATTAAACTCGCTTTCTGACCTCCCCCACCTTCATAGATCGATCAAATTACGTCCATGTCTAAAATTGATGAAGGGAGAGGTCCTGTTTGGGTTAAAACCCTGATATGTCAGCTTAGAATCTTATATATATATTGTAGGGCGGAGTTAAAGAACACCGTTTATGTAGAAGGAGAAGAGAGCATTCTTTCTCAGGTATATAGTCAGAACATATATCTATCCCGATTCCGTCTCATATAACTCTTAATCTAGAACGTTGTAGTTAAATGCTGGAAATTGCAAATTGCAAAGGGATTTAAATTTTTGAAATATTTGCATATCCCGTTTAAACCTCTTTCTAAGTAACCATGAGATAAGTATCGTCTCTGTTCTATCTCTCTAGGCACGGTGAATTATCAGAATTTACTATATTATCTAGAGCTTTTATCAGCAATTCTCTTCACCATTGAAAATAACCAATTTTTAGCTAGAATAACAAAGATATCTTGTTCAGCCTGATAAAGGTTTAAATGGGAAAGTTGTGAATCTGGACGGGTCACTTGAAATTACGTTAGCACTATGGAGTCTCTTTAAATCATAAAAAGCTATTTAAGGGATATTTCTGAGTGGTCTTATTAATTAAGTTTGCCCTTGATTACTGCCGGAAATTGAATATTCTTAATTACAGATTCTTTATGCAAGTCTTCCTCAATATTAATTAGATAGAGGTTACCAGTGTGAATCGGAGTGTTTAAATAGAGGACTATTTGAAACTAACAAACTACTTCTTCGGTCCCTTTAAGGTTGACATTGACACATCTTAATTTATTGATAATACTTAAGGCTCGTTTCCTGCAGGAAGAAACTCGTATTTTGAAATCTGCTCCCCCTGATGGATTTGTAGAGGATAAGGGAGTTCAATACTACTTAGGTCTGGTTTGTTTTTATCTAAAAATTACCCCCTTGTGTGTTTCTTCAAATTTACTAAGTAAAAAAGAAGAAAGTAAAAAATTAAAAGGCAACTTTTTCATTCTCGTTGATATTCTATACCCAAAAATTCATTGATTTTCTCTTAAAAATCATTGAATAAATCATTGATATTCCCCAATTCAGCTAATAAAAGCATATACATGAAAAATTATTAGAAATAATTATATAAACGATAAGCAGTAATTTATTCATGTAATAAATCTGTTTTTGTTTTCAGCCCTTGGTATACTTGAGAAACAGATAAAGGAGCTCAGAAGTATCACTAGTATAAGTGAAAGGTACGACCGTAAAATATTTTGATATTTATCATATATACCCACAACACATACGAGGGGAGGAAGGCCAGCCACAACAATTTCTCGTCCGAGCCACCTGGTAATCCTCGTTCTTTGATTTTTTTGTCTTAAAGAGTTTCCAATTCTTGAAAATAAAACTATTTTTAAAAATCTGGCCACGTTAGGGCATAAAATATAAAACTAAAGTATTGCAATGATTACAACATATTGGAATCTTCAAACCCATGAGAATGTCAAAATTTATTTAGGTAAAACTTAAATCTCTTCTGCTTCCATATTGCCTATCCTTCGTAATATAAGATAAATAGCAAAATGTTCGGCATACTTCTGCCTATAATTTTCCCCATGGAACCACCCAGAAAAATACTATGGTTTTCAGTACTATAGTTAACAAAAAAAAATTGAAGTTCGATAAAATTGGAATATTTGAAAAAGCGCGTAAAAAGGTTGAACATTATTAAAGACATTAAGCTTGAAATCTTTAATTCAATTGAAACTTTTTTTGGATGTACAAAAATTTGAAATATCATTTATGCCCTAACGTGGCTTGATTATTAAAAAATAGTTTTATCTAGAAGGACTAGACACTTAAAAAAAAATATTGAAAGGACGAGGATTTCGAGGTGGCTCGGACGAGTAAATGAGGAGAATGTGGCTCGGACGAGAAAATTAGGAGAACGTGACTCGGACGAGAAATTGTGGTGGTTGGCCTTCCTCCCCTCCACATATAGTTATTTGTCCATAATAGAATCAGCAAGCATCTTAAATCCAAAAAGTTTTTTCTTTGCTGCTCCATTTTTCTTAAAAATTAGTGTATATTATTTTATTTTTTGATTTAGTCATATCACGAGCAATCAGCAGATTTTAAAAGAACTTGATTTAGTCATCGCAGAACAAGAGAAACTCGTGAGCAAGTAAGTTTTAGAACTAGACTTTAAACTAGGAAATATCCATGTATTAAAAACAATATTTATTAAAATATTTTATCCAAGAAACCAGTGCTTAGGATCCATTTAATTTCGATGCGGATCCGGATCCGAATCCTGGATCCGCACTGGAAAAAATGGATCCGGATCCGGATCCAGGTCATTTCTTTAAGATTTACTGAATTTTTTAACAAAAAATAATTTTCAAATTTTTTGTTTTATTTTTTTCGCTCATTTTTATCCTAAAACTTAATATAAAGTATGGTTTTCTTACAGAAAATTTAAAGTCCTCATTGATTGTCCATTTTGGAGGGGATGATTTTGAGAATCGGTTTCATAAAAATTATTCTAAAAAGACGAAGAAAAATGTAAGACAATTTCTAAAGTAAACAAATTAGATGTTTAAAAACATATTTTTCATTTGAAATTTGTCAATAAATCAATGTTAGAATCAATTTTTTCTTTTCATCATTATAATGATTTTCTTGTTCTTGAATTTGTAGGCAGATTTCTTCAAATGTTGTGTTTTCATTAAAAATTCCAGGAAATCTACAAAAAATGATTTTAAAAATTGACACATTACATTGGATTTGCGCTCTTGCTGAGCAAATATGCACCGTAAAAACGTCTAATAGGTCTCAAATGAATCCAAACTTTTTTTTCAATAATACTGCAATCTTAGTTCAACTACCACACATTTCTGGTCACTCTCTTTAAGCCTGTTAAAAACAGTGCAGATCCATTTAATTTTGATGCGGATCTGGATCCAGGTCATGAACAGTACAAAAGATTTACTGAATTATTTTAACAATGCAGATTTGTCAAAAAAATAAATTCTTTGTTATTTTTATGCTAAAACTTGATAAACCATTCGGAGATCCAGAAATTTTTATAATCATCATTTTTCAATAGTTTTTGGTTCTGAGAGTAAAAATGCTTTTTTTTGCAGTTTTTGGATGATATTTTGTCCCTTGGATCAGGATCCGTGGATCCGCATATTTTTGCGGAAACGGATCCAGGAAGCCGAAATCTTACGAGCCAACAGATCCCGATCCTAATCATTGGAGTTTAAAATATTAGCACATATTAGTAAGAAATGAGGCAAAATTTTAAATATTTTGAATCTCTTTATTTAAAGTGTTGTTACCAATTATGAACATTTGCAGAAAAAAACTTATTATTTTCAACAAAATTTTTATTATTACGATATTTTTACTACATAGGATGGAAAATGTGGTTGCTGAAAGAACAAAAGAGGCCCTGACAGATGCTGGAAAAGCCGCAGCGAGGTATTTTAACCAAACTTTTATCCAATTTTAAGGATTTGATAATGATGATTTTTTTTAGATCCCCTCGATCGTGAATCTTTAAAGGGACTTTAAACGTTATTATAAGTTACCCTCCATACAAATATGCTGAATCGAAAATTGTTTAATTCGAATAATCTCTCCAATGCTGCTTATATACAATGCGCAATTTACTTTCCTAGAAGATCACAAATGAAAATAAACAGTTTTAAGAAACAAAAACTTGATCAGGCAAAGAATTGAAGAGTACCATAGCTAATCCGTCATTGCTATCTTTACATAGAGGGTCGCTAGAGATTGCACTTACAATCCTTTAATAGTGGTCTCAGGGTTTGGACTAAGATTTGGTTTTAATGGAAAAAAACTGAACAATTTTATTCTGATTCAGATTAACATTCGATTTGGATGTGTGGATCTGCATATTTTTTCGGATCCCAATCGGATCTTAGTGTTAGTTGATTGATAATCACATATTTCACCCGCAGGAGAAAAGCGGAGAACGAGCTGCGAGCTACCAAGATGATCTACAGGGACTTCAAGACGTTCTTCCGTGAGTACCTTAACAAAGTGGGAAGCTTGGTAAGACATTTATCTTAGTAGTTGTAAGTAAGACTTGCATGGAAAATCTTGGTGGTCATTGTTTTTACCGCCTTTTGACCAACACTACCGACCCATGATTCTTTGAACAGAGGGACGTTCAATTACTTAAAACGTCCATTGGGACAATTAAGTAAAATATCCACTCTGCAAAGTTTTCATGAAAAAATTCACACATTTTTATCTCGTCGATAAAATTGTGTACAAATATTTTTTCGGGAAATTTAAAATTTGACTTAACCACGGGTTTCTTCCACCAATTTTGCCTACAAAACATCCCTCGCTATGCTTTGGATGTTTTGTTGGCTAAATTGGTCTTTGGAAGACTTAGTTAGGTAAAATTTCCTGAACTACCCTGTAAATTAGTTGTAAATAATTAAAAACACTTTTAAGAACTAACAACCGTCTGCACTTTTATTTTTAACTTACTACTTTAATTAGAAATTTCTGCTCTTAAGTTTTATTTCATCTATTTTTCGATTACACTTTTTTGATATTGAAAAGACTACGATAATCTTATGAGAAAAAAATGTAATTATGTAAATTTTTAAACTCGATGAAATAATCTTGATGTATTCTTTAACTCTAGTCGACTTTTTTTTATATTGAAAAGACTACGATAATACCTTTTATTAAACCATCTTATATTGAAAAGGACCCCAGCATAGAGGGAGATGATGTACCTGTGGGGTATCTTCTACAGACCTTGTGGTCTACCTTCCAGGAGGAGGATAGGGAAGGATGGATCAATATTCAGGTAAGTTTATTTTGCCTACAGTC